ATTTAAGTTTCGCCTAGAGATTCAAAGTTTAGATCTCAAGCACTAGAGATCTAGCTCAATAGTTAAGTGATTCAAAATTCACCTTGAAATTCAAATACATTATTGTGTGATACTTTGTAAATGTCCAATTCAGATACAAATTTTCAATATTCAATTGGGCACGTTTAAAGTTATTCCCAAAACAACTAAATTTGAAGGAAAAAAATTTTAAAAAAAAACTTTGGATATATAAATTTCTATATACACATAATTTTAAAAAATTGATTATCACATAGTCAAGAAAAACAATTACCAAAACTTGCCAATTTAGGAACATGAAAGAACACTAGTGTTTTTAAAAAGTGTCCATGATCAAAACTTTATTAATCTAGCTAGTGGGGAATGACATTATCTGTGCGGCGATTCGAATATGAATAAAGGAGGAGTTAATGTACAAAAAACAATGACAAAAGCAACTTTAGGCCTATGCATATACTTTTGTGTTATGTTTTAAAATTTAAAGTATCATATCGACCTATTACATATATTTATTATTTAAAAGTGATTTTAATATCACATTGAAACGAATAGCATTACTTTCTGGATGAAAGGTGTATTACACTGGCGTCATATTAATATTATCTCAGCAGTGGCAAACGCAGGATTCTCATGAAGGGGTGTCAATGGTTGTAGTAAGAAAATAAAAAAATTAATTAGGAGGTCAATAAGGCTTGAACACACAATCTTAAGGAACTTTTGCAAAACCTTAACCACTAGACTAGACCTTTCACTTGTGTTAAAAAATGTCAATACTTATATATATATATATATATATATATATATATATATATATATACATACACGTTAGTTTAAGAATAACTAAATTCACTTTTAATTAGTAAATGTGTGTAATAGACCGTCATGATAGTTTAAGCATCTATTTAACTTTTTGAGACAAATGTAAGGGAATCAATGTCTTTTTCCTTAATCTAGCTTCATATCTCAAGAAGTCCTTAAGTAGAGGCCAGTGCTTTCGACCAAAGGCATTTATTTTTGGTGCTCGAATATAAAATCAATGATTAAGGATAAATGGTAGTTATACATCCAAAATTATAACTTAATTAGTGGTAAATAAAATAAGTTGAATCAGATTTTTTAACCTCAGCTGAAACAAAAAAAATACTTAATAATTATTTTAAGCATGTATTTGAATGCCTTTTTTCTTCTTTACCAATATTATTATTGTTAAGTATTCTATCGTTATTATATTCTTCAAATTTTATTATTACTATTACTATTAGTATGAAAGATAAAATATGTACCATGCACCAAATTATCATTAAGCTTATCCTTAAAAAAAAAAAAAAAAAAACTAGTGACTACCATAAACTTACTTTCAAAACTATCCAAGATACATATATAGTAACTTATCTTACAAGATGACTAGTCATAATGGATTAAGGAGGCAAAAGGTTAAAATTAGGAGGGACAAGTAACATGTGGATGATGTAAGTTCATGGTTAATGGACTTAACATGTAATCAATTAAATTAAATATCAAAAACAAAACCAACAATGATTGTGACAGAGTACTAGTAAGACTCTTTCATCCCTAATCAAGAAGTCTTGGGTTCAAATTTCATTTGGTACCTAATCACCTTTGTTAGGGAGTACTTACCCCCAATGTTAGACTTTCTGGTGCGAATTCAAATTTAGTCGGGCTCCAATATGAGTACCAGGAATCAAAAACTAGATATAAAAAAAACTCTTTCTATATGCACATGATTAAAAAGGTTTTCACTATTGACACTTCCCCTCCCTTACATATATATATATATTTGCATGATGATTATTTAGCTTACAATAACCTCTTTTTCCTCTCACAATTCTTGAATTTTAAATTTTTCTTATCATCCATATATGGACAACTCAAAATCCATATTGAGCTTAGTATTCCTTCTATTATTATTTGCAAAGGTAAATAATTCAATAGCAACTAGCTATGGTGGGGTTGAAAGCACAAGGAGAAAGATAGTTTTACATGAAATCATTTTTGATTTGGGAAGGAAGATGAAGAATATGCAAATTAATAATAAGAGGGCATTGGTGGATGAAGATAGACTGGCTCCTGGAGGACCTGATCCACAACATCATTAACAACAACGATATAGTCAGAAATTCTGATAAGGGGATTTAAGAAATTCAAAAATGTTACACTTGTGATTTGAACGTGTATTTCTCTTATGTTAAGGAAATTTGCAATTTTATATTTCTCTCATTATTATGACTTGATGTATTCAGGATTCAGAATTACTGAGAAATGTTTATGATAAGTTTGATTTTTTTATTTGTATATATATCACTTTTTTTTTTCACACGTGTTATAATTTTAAGCCTGAAGCAACGAATTTAATTGAACCAACAAAACTTCTATAAGTAAAAGTTAGATTGTTTTTACACAATTTTTAAAAAAAATAAAATTTAAATAATGATTTAAAGGACTTTATTTTGGTATAAATCAGCATGTATCCAGTACCCCATGAAGCCCACTGGGCCTAGAAGACCAGACCATTTAAACACAATATTAAATAGGGAAAATTACGCGCGCAATTAAGCAAATTTATATTACTTAATTAGTCATAATAGTTATAGTTTGTTATAATTATCACTCGCGACTAAAATTAATCATTAATTACGTGGGCTGACTTCGAGTTTGTATAATTAGTCATGTTTGTATAATTCGACACATTTGTATAATTCGCAACTAACAATTCTTTCGTTTGATTTGTGTTTGTACACAATGGTTTGTATTTGTATATGACGATGATTTCCTTTGGTTTTGTAGGTTTATACCATATACATTCAGACTTTTTGTGTATAACCTTTTAAAGTTTGATAAACATGTAATTTTTGAATTTTGTATAATATAATTTGTATAACTCTTTAAAGTTCATATGTTTATGTTTGTATCAATTCGTTATTTCGATTTTTATCATATTTGTATAATTCCAGACTTTATATTACTCAATTATACAAAAACACGCGAATTATACAAACGTACCTGCGAATTATACAAACGAGATGTGAATTATACAAATGATTGCCCCTCTCTCGCTCGCCTCTCTCCTTCCTCTTCCAATCTCGCTCGCCTCTTTCTTCCCTCCCCCAATCTCGCTCGCCAGAATACAAATACATATGTATACCAGTTACATATATACAATTATCTAACCGATATACATATACAATTCACCTCTCTCTCACTCTCTGCCCTCTCTGGCTCGCCTCTCTCCTCCCTCTCCCAATCTCGCTCGCCACTCTCCTCCCTATAACTTGTAGCTATGAATTGTAATTAGCAAAGTATAGCTATGGAGTGTAATTAGGCTATTTTTGAGTGGCTATATGCGAAAGTTCACCTATTAAATACAAGATTGTTATTTTTCTTTAAAAAATATGAGTATATTTACCAAAAAATAGCATTTAAAAAAGTTTCAATTTTTGAATTTTCGAATAGAAATTTTCAGTTCATGCAAATTGAAGAGTGTAATCGTAATTTTCAATTTCAACTAATTTATAATTAATCAAATAATTATTTGACCAAAGAAATAAGATTCTAATGTACTCTCTCCATATTAAATTATTTATCGTAATTTTTAAAAAAAAATTTATCTCAAATATTTTGGTATAAATTATTTTCGAAGATTACAATTTAAATATCTTAATAGAATAAATATTAAATTAAAAAAATAATATTTTAAGACATAATAAGATTAAAGATAGTCAATAGCTATTTCTATTTAAACTTTTAATCTTCCGAGACGTAAAAAAATAAATACAATAAATAATTTGAAACGGGTGAGTAATTTTATGTTGCTTCTCAAACCAGCATGTGTGACTTGTGGCTTGCTACACGATGTGTTGTTTTCACTAGTTGTTAGAGATATCAAACTTATTCTTTAGTTTATTTTTATTTTTGCTTTTCCCAAAAGTATTTTAAATTTAGATTTCTCTTAATTATTCTCTTTCTCCTCAAAAATCAATTTTCTCCAATAAAATAGAAACAGTATGACTTATAATATCGAATTCAAGTTGAATGAGAATATATACTTGATTCTAAGTTGTTAACTCATGGTCAAATGACTTTCAAGGTGAAATCTGAGATTGTTTATCCTGCTTGAATTATTAAAAAAGACAAAATAACATAAATTATTTTGTTTTTGAGAATTCAAGAAAAAATTATAATAAGACGAGTTGTTAAAAGAAGAAGAAGAAGAAAAGTGCAAATTTGTGATGTCTATCTTTGGGATTGTCATCGATACAAAAGGGTCGATAAGAAAAATGCACATTACTACTTTTGAAATAATAAATAAATATGTATTTTGTTGACTCTAATCCTATACAATGTTGACCTTAGAATATCAAGAAAAGGAAAAAATAAATGTTTTCTTTCACTCGGTAATTTTTTTATGATTCATTCTTTTTGTATAATTTTGAGCTAGATTTAAAGTTTAAATATTGATAACATAAAGTATATGTAGACCTCATTCCTCCGTTATAAAAATAGAAACGTTGTTTGCATAGAACCCTCCAAATTTTATTATGGAAAACAAATTAATTTATTTTCCAAATCAACCTTAACTTTTACTCATCTAGAATTAATCAAACCTAAGAAAATAAAAATAAATTGTGAATAATTGAATTAGCTTGGAACCGGGTGGGGCAGCGGCGGGGGGGGGGGGGGAGGTTGGTCAACTAATAAATACAACATAACGTGTTTGGTGAGATGTGAAAAAATAAAAAATAGAATAAAAATAAAATTAGAAGCTGCCACGAAAAAGGTTTTAATTTTGATTACATAAAAACCATATTCTATAAAGGAAAATATCATTAAATTCACTATCACCCCCCCCCCCCCCCTTTCCTACCTATATATATTATTACTCCCTCTCTCCCCCCTCTCTCTTTCTCTTTAACAAACTTTAGATCAACCAAAAAAAAAAAAAAAAAAAACATCTTGCTTTTTTTATTTTGTGGTGAAAAACAAATCTTGTTATTACAAGAAGATACAAAAAAAAAAGTATGTGTTGTTGTGGAGATGATTGTCAATGTAGACCTTTAGGTTTTCTATTGGGTCTTCCCTTTGCTTTTGTTGCTCTTCTTCTATCCATTGTTGGTGTTATCATATGGATTGTTGGGTAAGTTCATTATTCTCAATATATCTTCTTCCTATTTTATATTGAGTCAGAAATTTAAACAAGGAGATTCAGACCTCGAATTTTCTAAATCCATGTATGGTTTACTATAATCATTATGAAAAAAGAAGAAGAATTTATAACGGGCGTTCAATAATTATTATTTATACAATATAATTTTTCAAGAAAAATGGATTAATTCATTTTTTTCCTCAACCTAGCTCCGTCACATTTCACAAGAGTGAAAATAGTGGCAAAGCTACATAGTCTGATTAAATTTCTAAAAATAAGCAGTTTTTAACTACTTAGCCAAACAAGTTAGTGACATTCTTGATTTAAAAAAAACTACTACTTTCTAGTGAATCAATACAAAATTAATTATTTATAACGTATATTGAAATAATTCTTCTTGAATTTGATCTAAAACAACAATTTATTTTTCTTTTACTAATTATTTTTTAATTATTATTGTTTTTATTTTTTTTGCAGAATTACATTGAGTTGTTTATGTCCATGCTGTATTTGCGTAACAGTATTGGTAGAAATGGCTTTGGCATTGATTAAAGCACCCTTTTCGGTTATGAAGTGGTTTACTGAACAAATTCCATGTTAGAAAAAAAATATCATGTATAAAAATTTAATTTAATTTTTCTTAATGTAATTTTTTCTTTCTTGTGAGAAAATAAATTAGGTGTATTTTAATATTTTAAACTTGTTATTTTATTTTTTTAATTCTTGAAATTGACTAGTATTTGTTTTTGGTATTATTACATAATGTATATATTTGTTGTTGTTGTTATTCTTTTCAGTGTTATTTTTAATGTTACTGTATTTCATTTTCATATATTGTATTTAAGCTGAAGGTTTATAAAAATCAATTTCTCTAACCTCTATCTTCATAAAATAGAGGTAAGGTTATATACGCGTTATTTCTAGTGCATAACGGAGCTATAATTTATATTAAGGAAGCTACAAAGTATGAAGAAGTAATATATATAAAAAAAATCTCAACATTCACTATAATTACATAAGGAATAATTTTTTTAATAATATATCTAGAAAATTTGAATAAACCTTTTGACTTTACCCAACTCCTAATTAAATGATTGATTGTCAAGACCAATTCAATAAAGTTATTGAAGATTTTAAAAAAAATAATAATAATAAAACACTTAAAATTTGCTGTCAACTTGAATGCCAACTGTGTGCCTTATCTGTAATTGGTTTAACAAGTCAAAGACACATTATTTGAAAAATCAAATAAAGATCGTAATAGAGTATTAAATACTTCTAAATATCTTTAATAAAATTGACTTAAATGTGAAGATATAAAAATGATTATCTCTTCATATTTTAAATCTTTTGTTGAATGAGAGAATGTTTTTATTTCTACTGAAATATAATTATAAGACTTAGACGAATTTAAATTTAGTTTGATCCCAATGAATGTTTAATACCAAGTGGATATAAAAGAAATAAGTAAAAGATGATTTTGTCCGATTTTGATTCATTATTTTCAGTTATTGATCACATGGACAGATAAGGCTTTTTTGGATGCTATCCTCACAAAATTCTATAATATCTTTTATTTTTTGGACAGGTGAGTAGGTTAAATTTGTCAGTAATGATTATGCATCAACTGCAAATAATTAGGATTAATTTAATCATCAATATCATAAGCAAGAACAAGAAATTGAAATTAACAATGAAGTGAAACATATAAAGTTAAACATAAAATTGGTTAAATTTTTGTTAGTAATATTTATTTTGGGGGAACTTTCGCAAATAGCTACTATAATAAATTTAATTATGCTCCATAGCTATAGTTTGCATATTTACGGGTTGTAGCTACAGTTTAAGCTGTCTCGCTTGTAGAATGAGTGTTTACGAATATACAAAAAAATTATTTGGGCAATGCATCTCAACATATCTCAAAGCAATTGAAGAAAACTCATTTCTTAATCTTTAAATGAAATAATATTTTGCAACTAAAAACCTTTCTTAATTGTTCCATGAATAAGGATGACACTATAGAAGTCTTAAGAAGATCTTGTAGTTCAGGTCTCAAGTTAAGGAGTTGCAAGTCAAGATTGTTAAACTTCAATGAAAAATCCCAATTTATTGTAGTAGAAGAGCCCAAGAACAAGTTCAAGAATTATGGAGAAGAATCGGTTAAATGTTATACATATTTCATGGTTCAAATTCAAGTCCAAGAATAGGAAAATTGGAAGTTCAAGCCCAAAAAGGAGTTATTTAGTGTCTGCTTTGAAGCCCAAAATATGGGCTGAAAGTTCACACCAAGTGTTTGAATAGGCGTGTGTTTTATGGGACAATTTCATAGAGTTTGGAGTCAAAAAGACAACAAACATTGAGGATCAAACCAAAAGGTCAACATTAGGATGGAAGGATGAATGTCGTTAGATCATTAGTTGGAAGGCGCACGTTGACTTGAGCCTTGTAAGGCGCACACTGACATGAGCCTTACAAGGCCGCATGCTGACATGAGCCTTACAAGGCGCATGTTGACACGAGCCTTACAAAACTCATGTCAAATGAGCCTTACAATTACAACATTAAAAAAAATGTTTAAAGAATATTAATATTACTCCTCCATTATTTATTCAGAGTATTTGGATTGATTAATACTTCATCTGATCCAAAATAAGTATCGTCTAACGTGTATTACTCTATTATTCTTTATCTTTCCTTAGATTACTTTTCTTGGATCACTTAACGAGAATAAGGGTAGATTTGAAAGAGAAAAAAAATAATGTTCTCTAGATTTTCTAAAGCAACACTTATTTTGGATCAGAGAGGTTAACACTTGAACTTCACATTATAGGTATTTATACCAAACTATATCGACTTAAAATAAATCAATAAGCCATGATTATGTGTGATAAGTCAAAAAGCAAACACATGTTGTCATCGCGTAAAGTGATGTATCCAAGAATAGGAGAGAGCAGGAATTTTTGTAATTTTTTCAAATGATAGGAAATTTTAAAAAATATGATAAAATAAATTGCGTATTTATGTAATTTTTTCATAACAAAAAGCTTATTCGAAGGCCCATTCACTTTTGATATTAATGAGGCCCAAGTTTTGCAATTATAGAAAGCCCAAAATAGAACTGTTGTTTTCTTTGGAGCAGAACATGCACCAGAAATAAGTTGTTTTCCAATTATAACTGTCAATTATAAAGTATAACATAAATCACATAGTGTAAGACCCTAAATTACATTATATTCCTACTCTTTTCTATTTTACAAAAATCCCTTAAAATATTAGTCATCCGGATACATTAATTGTGATATATTATAAAACTTGTCTGTTGCACTTAATAAGGAATATTAACGTAAAATTGATTTTAATTCTCACAAATCACGCAGAACTGATTTTCTTTTCCACAAATCACGCAGAACCTGATTGATATCAATCCATTCCAATCTGTAACAACTTCACAAAATTCGAAAATCAAATTTTCATCTTCTCCATCAATTCGAAATCTTGAATCTCAAATCTGCCATTGTAGATGATTGGAGAGATGGTTCAGATATATTCAATTACTCTGATCCTTACAAGAAAATTAGTGCATTGTGCAGGCTATCAGGAACTATAACGATCCCCATATTTTGGCCGCGGCGAGTAGTGGTTCACAGTAAGCAATGGGTGATCTAAATCTGAATGAAAACAAGGCCGGGCTATTTGTTAGTGATGATACTTACTGATGAGATCAAGCTTAACCTTTTTGTGTCTGTTTTTTATTATAATATCATGTATTTTGTAGTTCAACTTTGTGAACAATATCTTTTTTTGGTTTTGCTTTTGTAATAACATGATGATGAGTTTAACAGATCATGTTTTACGCTTGTTTACATGTTTGTGGCACCGGAAAATAATGGAAACATTGACTTTAAATGACTCTAGATATTACTATATTGTGAAAACATGTTAATCAATTTGTTTTAGTTATTGTTTACATGTTTATAGTTGTGTGTTGTAATGAATATAGAAACGACAGATGATCAAATCAAATACATTCAATTCTTACATTTAGCAGTAATTTTTATAAATGTATCATAGCCAATAATGTGTATTAGTAATTTGTATAAATGTATCACTGCAAAATAATGAGTATTTAGCAGTAATTTGTATAAATGTTTTATTGCAAAATAATGGATATTTAGCAGTAATTTGTATAAATGTATCATAGCCATTAGTGTGTATCAGATTACGTGTGATTGAAAAATTGCATATCTCATACAATTAAATTGCATATCTTATTCAAAGGAAATCAAATTGAAATCACTTGATGGGATTGAGAAATATTATCGATACATTATAGAGCTTGATATATGGAAAATGATACATTATACATTACTTATGTATCAAGTACGTTTGAATTGAACATGAAACTCACTAGTCGAAGTATCAACAACATTAGGTTATGTATCAGTATAATAAATATAAACATGATACATTGCATAGAATCCACTGGTCGAAGTATCAACAACATTATATTATGTATCAATATAATAACTATAAACATGATACATTGCATAAATCTCACTAGTCGAAGTATCTACAACATTAGGTTATATAAACATGGTACATTACATAAAACACAGTCATTGTTTCGGAAAACTAAATTACGAAATAAAATAAACGAGATACATTGAAAACTTGTACCTTTGATGGAGATGGACATGATAAGGTAGATTCGACTATTTTCTCTTTTTTTGAGCGTTTTTTCATAATAGATTTAGAATTCGAAATCCTTCTTCATGAATAAGACTGAACAAACATTAAAGAGTGCAGATACATAACACCCAATTGATTTTGGTACTGTTTATATATCCTTTTAAATTTGAATACGATTGAAGATACATTATAGAACTTGATACATTCGGTAGTGTTTATGTATCAAGTACATTTACATTGAACATGATAAACAAAATCGAAGATTCAATAATATTAGGGTTCTGTATCAATATCGTAAATATGAACATGATACATTGCATAACAACGAAAGTTATTGTAGCAGTGATGTATCAGATCAGTGATAACACTAACAAAGACTAATTTAATGTATCAGAAAGTTAAAACGAAGGCATTATACATAAATTTATGAATCAAAATCAACTAGATACATAAAAAATCTGAATCTTGGGTAGAGAAGGGTGTTGAAATGAAGGCATTATATATTAAATTATGAATCAAAATCAATTAGATACATTGAAATATGAAGCTTGGGTAGAGAAGAGTGTTTAGTAACCTATTCTACTTCCCCCTTTTTTTTGGAACCTTTCTCAATGGGTAATTTAGAACTTGGAATACATCTTTCATCGATTTCGAATCACAAACACGAGGGATGAGATCTTCCTTTTGTAAACTTAATTGGGTAAGACCAATATTAAACGATGGATCAGAATCCGTATGTAACTTTCCATCGCCGTATGACAAACAACTGATTCATCTCTTCTCTTCAGTTCCTTTTGCTTCGTATTGTTAGATAATTCTTTCTGAAGATCGCCCGTACATATCTCATCCATATATATAAGAAGTTTATAGATGAAAAAGCTAAAAAGAATTTAAAAAATCGATAATTGATTAATTAGAAAGAAAAAAGTGGACGAAGAAGAAGATTGGAGAACTGGAAAAGAAAAAAGAAGATTGGTGAGTTGGAAAAGAAAAACAAAAGATTTGAAATTCAAAAATGGAGTGATGAAGATAATTGGTGATACCATGGAGTGATTTTAGGCGTGAAAATAGAAAAAAAAATCGTGAGGGTGATTGTTTAGAGTGATGTATCTGAAAAAGTGAAAGATATTGAAGAAAAGAGGGATTTTTGTAATTTTTTAAAATGGTAGAGAATAATACAAAAATAGGGTAAAAAAATTGTATAGTTAGATAATTTATCCTTATAAATGTGCAATCGGAAGTTTGGATAAAAAAAAAATTCACTGTAATCAGTACATTAATCTTTATTGCTATATTGAGGTTTTAAAATTTTATCGGACCATTTTTTACTACTGAAGTAGTAAGTTTTGTGAAATAAAGTCAACAAAATAATTGACCAATTATTCGATTACGGTAGTCGACAACTTGCTAGTGAGGTATGTTGATTGAAATTCATAGTAGTGTGTACAAAACTTCTCATAATTTAAGAGTATTTACAACTAGCAGCTAAAAGTATATTTGTATATTTCACATAATTTAAGGATGTTTACGAGATCAACTATTAACTTTTTGCAATTACTGACAGTGCGGTGATATTAATAGTTATTGTGAGTTGGGCATAGAAAAAATTACAGGAGGGTTATGGGTAGGGATGATAAATGGGCAAATTAAGTATGGATCGAACGGAAATGAGTCAGATGAAAATAATCAAATTATTTAATTCGATTCATATTTCATATGAATAAAATGTATATTCATATTACTCGTTTTATCTATTGCTTTTTATTATGTAGAGAAATATGTACTTTCATTACAATTTTTTAAATTCTTTTTCTTCTTTTAGGATGTGTTTTGGTATGAAGAAAAATATTTTTCACGTTTTTCTAGAAAATATTTTTTGAAAAATGAGTGGTCTCAAATTGAGATCAAGAGGTCAAAATTCGAGTCTCAAATCAGGATCAGGAGTTGGGGCCAGAAGTTGGATCTCAATTCTGGGACTTGTTTTGGTGGTGAGGCTTAAGAAAAGTTTTGAAAAATATTTTCCTGATTTGATAAAAAATTTATCCCCCCCAAACCCCCCAACCCTATATATGGAAGTCATGTTTTTCTTTAAATTAGAGGAAAAAATATTTTTCAAAACATTTAAACCAATCAAATATGAGAAGAATGAAAAATATTTAATAAAATAATTTTTTTTCATATTAAATACACCTTTAATAAGTGTACTTTTAAAAAAATTCCTACATCCTTACATATATTAAGGAGAGTGTAATTTAAAATAAGTTAATCGAGCATATAATCATATAATCAATCCATTTTAGAATAAATTACTTGAGCATATGTATGAGAGGAAATTTCAGAAATAGCAAAGATAATAGATATAATAAGATTTTATAGCTATACTTTCGATAATTGCGCTTCATACGTTTGCTATGGAGGCTACGGTTTGTATATTTCGCTTGCAAATATCAAACATGGTAAGTATATACATATGGAGGCTCCGATTTGTATATTTCGCTAGCGAATATACAAATAGAAATATACAAATCGGGTAACTATATACAAATTCTGTATCTATACATTTAACAAATTTTTAGAATTTTGTTTGTGTATTTCACTTGCCAATATACAAACAAGATAATTTATTATGAATTTTTCATAAATCGTATACAAATAGTTATGGTAAACATATACAAACTCTAGATTTATCTAATCAGAAACCGAATTATACAATTTTTGAATTTATACAATCAAAGAACAAATTATACAAATGCTGAGTTTATACAATTATAAAACTGAATAACAAAATTTCGTGAAACTGTAACTACTACGATAAAAATAATCGAAACAATAGTTTTATTACATAATATACTGTAGATATTTATCATTTTGCGTAATTTTCCCCATATATAATTACTCCCTCTGTCCCAATTTATGTGACACATTTCGCTTTTCGAGAGTCAAACAGTTTAAATTTGACCGAGAATTTGCTCATGAAATTTTCAAATTTTTTAAAATGAAATTTCTATATTTGTAAATTACATAAAAAGTACTATAAGTCCCAATAATTGATAATTCAAAATATTTAAAAGATATATGAAAAATTTACAATTAAAGATAGACTTGTTTGAATCTCAAAATCTAAAATATGTTATATAAATTGGGACAAAAGAAGTATAATTAGGCCCATTTTAGTCACGTGGTTGCACCTAACCACGTACACCCTTATTTACAATTATTGCTTGTAATGATAATTCCCTTCCTTGTTTTAATTTGTTTATGTTTGATTTCCGAATATGAGTATTTGTACAAAAATATCTTTATATTATATCCTAAATTTAAATTATATTTTTAAATAGTTTTTTGATAAAATACATCCTTCAAGTATTTGAAAGTCAGTAATTTTCATCCTTTTGTTAAAGATTTTTTGGCCAAAAATTAAACATCCTTAAAGTATATCCTAAACTTAAACTACATTCTTAAAATATATGTTTTAGCAGAAAATATCCTTCAAGTATTTGAAAGTTAACAATTTTCATCCTCCTATTAGAGAGTTTTTGACCAAAAACGTCCTTAAACTATACCCTAAACTTAAACCACATCCTTAAAATATCTTTTTTCTCACAGAAAACATCCTTTCAATATTCAAAAGTTAACAATTTTCATCATTCGACTAGATATCGTCCAAAAATACTACTCCTTCCGTTTCAAAAAGAGTGACCTGGTTTGACTTGGAACGAAGTTTTAGAAAATAAAGAATACTTTTGAATCTTGTGGTCCTAAATTAAAGTTATGTCAAATGTACTAAATCAGAGGCGTATCCAGAATTTCGGTTAGATGGGTGCACGATTACGAAAAAATATATCTTAAATATAAATTTGATCGATTTGACTTTTAGTTCGTAAGATGAACCATTAAAGTTTAAAAATTATAGGTCCAAAATATATTATACTACTAGTTTTAAATTTTAATATACACATTTGATGTAATTATATAAAAAATTTACAATGCTAAATTTTTTAGGAATTGTCAATGTAACACACTTGAATTTTTTTTGAAAGAATACAGGAAAAAACAAAAGAAAAATTAGTTGAAACGACAAAAGTGTAACTGATAACCACTTGGAAAAGTGTTACTCAAAGAGACAAGACAAATATAAGATTTAAATTTCTATCTGTGACGTAGAGAAGTGCACCCAATCATTATCGCATTATTATATGATACTTCGAACATGGATTCACACATCTATAGTTAAATATTTTTTAAAAAATATAACACTACTATATATGATCTAGAGGGGGGAGCATGGGTTCACATGAACCCACGACACCCCCTCTAGATACGCCTCTGTACTAAATTGCCCTTCAATCTTGTGGCTTTAAACATGCCACGTGGAAAGCTGAAATTAAAATGTTAGCAAAAAATGAAAGAGGTTATTCTTTTTGAAACAGACTAAAAAGAAAAGGAGGTCATTCTTTTTTAAACGGAGTAAGTATATATTAATTGACCGGTGGTCCTTGGCAATACACATGTATAAGTTGTGTGGATGATAGGCAATTGATTTTAAAATTAGAAAAAAATGGTTTTTTGTTTGAGTAAAATTGCCTTCATTATCTTTTTGGTTTTTTTAAATCCCATTGAAGGTCGACGATTAATATCACTACGATGCTTCAACTCTATTATTAGTTTCGGCGATTCGCTAACTGATACTGGAAATGAATTTTATCTAACTCGATACAGAAATCCTTCTCCCTATTTCGCTCGCTTACCTTATGGAGAAACCTTCTTTCATCGTCCCACTGATCGTTTTTCCAATGGTCGTCTAATTATCGATTTTATTGGTATGTACAATGTATATACAAAATTTTCAATTATGTATATACTTGTAATGATTCTGATCCAACTGTTATAAGGCTTAATTTTATACATTTGTTGTATTCGTAGCTGAGAGTTTGGGGATACCGTTAGTGCCAGCATATTTAGGAGGAAAAGATAATGTAAAATTCCCACAAGGTGTGAATTTTGCGGTAGGAGGATCAACGGCACTCGATCCTGCCTATTTGTCGAATAAGGGAGTAAAAACCACGACCAATGCGTCTTTGGTGGCTCAACTGGGTTGGTTTAAAGAAATGCTCTCATCCCATTGCAAATTTCCCTCAGGTAGTTTTTTTTTTTTTTCTCCTACAACACTTTTCACTTTAAAGAAATTAAAGTTTATATTTGATTAATTAATTTAATAGTCTGTTTGATTAAGTTTTTAAGAGGTGCAAATGTGGTTTTTTCTTCCTAAAAAAAATATTTATTATTCTAATAAAGTGAGATGTTTGGCCAAAACTGCTGAGTGAAAATAAGTGCTGTGGTTGGAAAGAAGCAAAATCTAACTTTCAAAAACTTTTTTTTTTTAAAAAATAATCTCGAAAAGTACTATTTTGGAAAATATTTTTGAAAAGAAGTGCACTTTTAAAAAGCTTGGTCAAAGATCAAAAATGTTTTAAGAATTTATATTGGTCAAACACAAACTGTTTCTCACCAAAAGTATTTTTTTTAAAAATAATTTGATTGTAAAAGTATTTAAACAACGATCAGTGTTTTGTCTAACTTTTAAAAAGTATTAGTTTCTGCTACTTCCAAAAACACTTATTTTGTACTCAAAGCTTAGCCAAACTCCTCAATTTTCTAAAATTTAACTCTCTTTGGATAAAACCTAAACATTTTTTACCAACAAACATGTGGTAATATTGGACAAAATCCTTACATGTTTTATATATGTTTAAATTGGTGAAATATTGTTTTATTATTAATAAAATGGGAAATGTTCACTATGTCAATGAAAAATATCATATCCTTAACTATATTTCAGACACTTATAATGTGTTGGTGTAAGGGCCCGTTTGGATTGACTTTTGACTTATGACTTGTAAGCCAAAAGCCATAAGTTAGGATTTCTAACTTATGACTTGTAAGCCAAAAGCCATAAGTTAGGATTTCTAACTTATGACTTTTGACTTATTTATGTCAATGAAAAATATCATATCCTTAACTATATTTCAAACACTTATAATGTGTTGGTGTAAGGGCCCGTTTGGATTGACTTTTGGCTTATGACTTGTAAGCCAAAAGCCATAAGTTAGGATTTCTAACTTATGACTTTTGACTTATTTTTGTTATTTTGACTTAAAAATAAGTGATTATAAGCACTTTTTAACTTTACCCAAACACTTCAAAACTGCTTAAAAGCTATTTTGGCTTAAAAACACCTAAAATAAGCCAATCCAAATGGACACTAAGTTTTATTCAACATTTTGTGTCGATTAATTTTTTTTATAATTCTGATCATAAACATTTCACATGTATAGAATGCAAGGAATTTCTACAAAATTCATTGATATTGGTGGGAGAAATTGGAGGAAATGATTTCATCTATGGTTTCTTTGGAAATAACACTAAAGAAAAGGTTGAATCATATGTTCCAGCAGTTATCAACTCTATTAGCTCAGCTATACAGGTAATTAACAACAATATCAATAATTAATAAATAAATAAATTTTGATACATTTTGCTAAAAATGAATTTTATTTTCAAAAGATACATTGCTTTTTATTATTGTTATGTTGTTGCTTTTTAAAACTTTTAAAATTTTATGATCTAAAGTTAATCTTAGACATTTTATATGTAGCTACACATTACTTCATTAAGATTAAAAGGGAAAATTTCAAATATAATTAGACCCTCTCTATAACAGTCATCCTTTATAATAATATTGTAATATAATGTAATGCTATCATAATATTGTAATATAATGTAATGCTCTTGTTTTATGTGAAATCGATCTTCCATGTTATAACTTATAACATATGTTATTTATAATAACATTTCACTATAATTGTCATTTTCATGTTTTTTTGTGAAACTGATATTATATATATAGAGGGGAGTAGCTATAGCCATCCAGGGTGTCCGACCAGACATCTTCGTCAAAAATCACGTTGTATATATATGTCAAATTCTACATTAAAGGATATATATTTAACGTTGTGCACCCTTGACAAAAGCTATGTTTTTGGCACAGTGGTAATGAGTGTCCATTTGAATGAAGGAGTTTCGGGTTTGAACCCCAAATAACACAATATTGTTTTTTTATTTGGACAGCCACACACTAATATTTTTGAACACCCTTATTAAAATTTCTGGCTCCGCGCGTTTATGTTTTTTGTAACAATATTTTACTGCAGTAATCATAAATATACGACGTTGTTGGGATGCAGGAAGTAATTGAGTTTGGAGCAAGTAGAGTGGTAGTTCCAGGGAGTATGCCCCTTGGATGCTCAACAGCTCTTCTAACAATATTTATGGACTCAAATAAGGAAGACTATGATCCAATTACTGGTTGTATTAATTGGCTCAACCAATTTTCCAAGAATTACAATAAGCTTCTTCAAATGGAACTTCATCTTCTTAGACAGCTTCATCCTTCTGTTACAATCATCTATGCTGACTACTACAATGCTGCCATGCAATTTTATCTCTCTCCAAACACATATGGTATGTAACAATTACACTCTCGTTTCAATTTGTTTGTCTGATTTTGATTTGACGCGAAGGGAGTACATTTTTTGACCGATCAAAAGATAATAGCGTAGGTTTAAGTATAGAGTTAAGAGTCAAAAACACATCTAACTTATCAGACTTTATTTAGTTTCATACCTGAATTATTGAGTGTATGAGTTTCCTACCTGAACTATCACCCAGTGGTTAGCAAAACACACCTAGATGTTAACTAGACCAAATGTTTGTCTAGAAAAGCTTCTAGGCATGTTTGTCTATAAAATCTCCATCCACCTGACATATATAACAACTCTATTCATTGTTACATGACATAATATATTTTTAATCGACTTCTTTAAAACTTTAAACTTTCCCCTTTCAATTAGTTGGAGATATAAAAGTCACAACAGATATGAGACCACACCAAGGAAGATGGAGAAAGAGTCGGTGAATACCACAGTTGGAATAAATTAATTTATATTGTGATAATTTTGATCTTTAACCTAATATTAATTTACTATTATATTTGCCACATTGAAATTATTTTTTCACACGTGGCAAAAACTTTTAAACAAAAAAGAAAATGTAGTCACATCATCAAAAATTAATTGAGATGTGTTTCACTAACTATTGAGTGATAACTCAAATATAAAACTCAAAAAGTTAAAAAATAATTTAAAAATGTGTTTTTAGTATACATAATCATTGATCATTGTATATGTATTTTTTACAGGATTTACAAAAGGAGCCTTAGTTGCATGTTGTGGAGCAGGAGGGCCATATAACTATAAACTTTTTGAATTATGTGGGGATCCAACAGCAAGAAATATTTGCAGTGACCCTTCAATATATGCTAGTTGGGACGGAATGCATTTTACAGAAGCTGCCTATAAATTAATAGCCACAAGCCTTTTAGAGGGAAATTTCACTTTTCCTCCCCTGCCTAAAATATGTAGTACTAGTTTGAGTCCAAATGTAAACCATTCTGACTCTTAAGTATCTCCTCCGTATATTTTTATTCGTTACTGTTTGACTAGACACATCTATTCAGAAATAATTATTAATATATGTATTTTATCACACTACTTCTATTAATTGATGTTCAGTATTAACACTTGGAAAATTTTCAGATATTATCCTTCTAATTAATTCTTTTTGGAAGTGTTTACATTTGTTTATAAAATTTGCAAGAGGTTTTTAAGGGGTGAATTAGTAAAATTATCATCTTCTTTATGATTTCTTAATGTGCATGTTAAAAGGAAAATGATCAAATAATATGAGTCGGAGAGAATATTTAAAAACTATAAACATATAGCCTAAACTATTGACAATTTAAAACAATTTTAAATAATTCTCAAATACAAGCATAAAAAGAATACCTAACTAACAAATTTAGAATATTATATTGTTATTTCATATGAACTAGAGGTGTAGAACTATAATAGTCTGCATTGAACTCATACGCCACTGATCCACACCCTTCCATCACTTAACACTTGAAAATACAAAAAAGAATAAAATAATTAAGCCTAGACCGAGGTTCGAACTCGGATCGAAGGGTGAATTTGAACTCATACGCCACTGATCCACACCCTTCCATTATGTATAGAGTGGGTTCATTTCTTTGTATACACAACTTTACAAATAATTTATATATGTATAATACAAAATTTTTTGACGGATGTGAATTTAATTGAACCCACTTGAACCAATGTGAGTCTGCCCTTGATTATGGGTGGTTAGTACGTAGTAATTGTGATAAAAGATGATGTTTGTGGGTAATGGGTTGTAAGGGTTCGCAACATCACTGTTAGTTAATAAATATAATAAACGACGACAATAAGTGCATTGATGAGATTGTTGCATTGCCATCTACAGAAGATGTTGTTTGAGGGTGATGGGTAGTAAGTGACCGCAATGTCCTTGGTAGTTAATAAATATAATAGCCGACGGCATAACAATGCATTGATAAGATAGGTGAACTGGGACCTTGTAGATATCCTTGATAGATACTTCAATAATATGGGTGAAAATCATTTGCATACCTTCTTCAACTTTACTTTTAACCCCCCACCCCCCCAAATATATGTCAACTACTATTTTTGAATTCTTTTATTCTTACATTATTAGCTTTTGTCTTTTATTTTTAATTCATTAAAATTAGGATATTTCTAAATTTATGTAATAAATTTATCTATAAAAATAAATATATATATTAGTTTTCGAGATGAAAAGAAATGTGAGAATTGATAATTAATTATTTAAGTTAGTGATGTGAGAACTAATATTTTTTCTATGAAAAAAATAGATATAGTTTTTCTACCGAAAAAATAAAAGTGAAAAATCCTAATTGAGTTTTTCCAACTCCACTATAGTCAACCTCTAACCTCCTGATCACCGGTGCATCTGAAAATCTCCTCTTTACATGTATGAATCATCTCAAAAACCTTATTATGCAGGCTTATTTTACACTATGGAATTTAAGTAAAGTATACTTCTTTTTAGTATAACAAATCAACGTCAACAAGAAATAAACTTTGTTTAGAAAGTAATTCACATTAGTTTTACTATAAAATTGAAATTCTGAATTCGCATGTGTATGTATAGTATCAAGTATCAACTGAGTACCATTTTGTTAAGATTCTTTGCTAGTTGCTGCCCACAAAATACAAATTTTAGATTTTTTTATATATATATATATATAATTCTTTTTGTTTATCAATAAGGATTGTGCTGAAGTGACAAGTATTTTTCATCTTTAACAAAGAAAACTCGAGTTTGAGTCCCCTTGAATACAAAATCACCTTTGTTAGAGAGTGTTTCACTCCAATATAGAACTTTCCAGCGTAAATATATTATTTTTCTCTTTTTGGTACTAGACAAAAAACGGAATGGGGGTACACAGTATTAGTATTTTCTTAAGAAATTAGCAATATATAAGGTATTTACTTCCTCATTATAAGGAGAATTTCCTAAATGTAGAATAAAAAAACTAACATGTTCCTTTGTTGTTGGCCATTTCAAACATTTTAACATGATAAAAACATCCAATTAAATGGTTATGCTATTATGTTGGAGGTGATGGGCAGTAAGGGACCGCAACGTCACATGTAGTTAACAGATATAATAGGCGACGGCAATAACAATGCATTGATAAAAGGAAAACTAGAAGGGATAGGATGTTATTTAGTACTTATAATATGTGGTTCCTATAATTTATACTTGATAAAATTGATGAACTTCCACCTTGTAGATATACTTGATAGATATTTTATTAATATGATTGAAAATCATTTGCGTACCTTCTTCAACTTTACTTTAAAATATCCCTTCCCCTCCCCTCCCCTCCCCTCTTATATGTCAGTTATTATTTTGGATTTTTTTTTCTTACGTTATTAGCTTTTGTCTTTTATTTTTAATTCATTAAAATCATGATATATATTTCTATTTTTTTTTGAATTTATGTAATGAATTTTTCTATAACAATAAATATATATTAGTTTCGAGATGAAGAGATGTGAGAACTGATAATTAAATATTTAAGTTAGTGATGTTCTATAAATAAATAATCAGTATAAGAAAAAATAATTTTATTAATAATAATCAAAATTTTAGATTTATCTATTTGTGCAAACAAAAATTGTAAAGAGTAATAACTTTATAAGTATATTTTAATGCACATAATACAAAACAATTTGTAAAAATAGTGGTATATATTACAATAAAATTCTAAAGATTATCTTCTTATATTGCAAATAAACTTTAAAAAATATTTCATTAACGATAATCAAAACTCATTTATCTAAATAGTAGAAAAAAATAAAGAAAAAAAAGAAGATGAAACTTAAACAGACACACATATCCATGCATATACATACATATTTAATGCATATAATATTAAAACAAAATTCATAAGGAGTAGTACTTGATTTCTTAATCAATTCATAAATAGATTACTCTACTTATAATGTTAATCAACTTACATAAAAATTATGATTGTAATGACAGGTATTTTTGGAAAGTTTAAAAAATTTACCATTTTTTCCTTCCGTGATTGACCTCAAGTCTTTCATGATTGAGTTTGATAAGTTGGTTTTGAACTTTGAGTTAAAAGTTTAGAATTTGGTAAGTTTTGAGTTTGGAAGACATATATTGTTAAGAACGTGGATTTTGGGGTCTTTTGAAGTTTCGAGTGTCAGAATGAAATTCCGTTGATTCCATCAGTCCCGAAATGTGGAATTTGAGCTTTGAGAGTTGTTGGTCTCAAATTCCGAGTCTTTTATAAGATTTGAGGTCACATGTTGTGAATTTGTGGAAATTTAGCTTGGATTGACTTTGGTCAATATTTGGGGTTCGAATGCTCGGATTGGAGTTTCGAGAGTTCCGTTGGATTCGAAGAATGATTTTAGTCCCAAGTGAGGTCTTGGTTAATTTTTGAGAGGTCCCGAGCTTGTTTTGACCTTTTTAGGCGTGAGTTAGTTTCTTATGTTTTTCACGGATGTTGGGTCAAAGAGACCTCGAATTCATGTTTTGGCGGTTTCATTGAGTCCGAAACGTTGAATATAATTGATTTGCATATGTGATTTGTATTCAAGGGGTTCCGAACGAATCCCGAGGGTCCTTTCGATGTTTTGAGAGTTGGCTTTGTTTTGTGGTGCTGCAGGCCTCGTTTTTGTGAAGGTCATGTCGCTTAAGCGACCTCCACTAAAGGGAAGGATCTGTCGCTTAAGCGACCTTCGCTTTTGCGATGCCCGAGATTCTGTGGGCTGGTCGCTTTTGCGACACTTGAGAGGGTTTCTGGCTTGCCATTTTCGGGGTTAAGCCCTATTTTTCCATTTTTAAGCTTGGAAAACCCTTGGTGGTGATTTTGGAAAGGTTTTCTTGTGCTAAAGCATTTGGGTAAGCTTCTATAATCCTAAAGCTTCATTTCCCTTTGATTATTTATGGGTTGTAACATCAAAATATGAAACTTTGATTGGTGAATGATGAGTTTTTTCAAGAACTCAAGTTCTTAGCTAAAATAATGATTTTGAACTGATTTTAAGTCCTTTTTCAAAATTATTTTCCCCAATGAGTTCCTAAAGCCTTGAGTAATATTTTCAAGTATTAAATTTCAGATTCAACCTTAATTTTGGAATTGGGTTTTGAGTTGATCGACTTATTTCGATGAGTGATTGTGAATACTTGGTTGTTATAGATTATGTGGCTTTGGAAGTGATCCGGAAGGGAAGACTCAAGATTTAAGCAGGTGATCTCCTAAATCTTGAATTCTAGTAGAATTCATTTGCTTCCTTCGTTGCTTGTGTGTTGGGAGTAATGAGAATGAGATGAAGGGTTTAATTGTCCACTTGATGTATCTAAATGAATAAAAAAGGCTTGAAATGAAAAAGACTGTGATGAGCATGATGATGTGAATTGCCTTATTGTGACCCTCGTTGATTAATGAAATGCTCAAATGCATGAATGTAGACTTGAATTGTATAATGTCATTTCTTCTTTGTGGTGTGATATTGCTTGTGTGCATTGATTATTGATCACCGAGGTCATTTCCGACAAGTGCTATCATGCCGAGGTCTTTACATTCATGCGGTATTAGGCTGATGTAATTTTCGGCGAGTGTCCGACCCAAACTGTCCTGATTGGCATCCACCCTAATTCTGAGGTGGGAGAACCATTACTACAACCCAACTAAACAATACTAACCAAAAGACAAACATTTAAAGATGTGGAAACATGTTTAATTAATCAATTTAAAAGCTGAGTTCCCATGAACTCAGTAAGTTATCAAAAACAAACATAACTAAGCGGAAATTCAACCCATAAAACCTAAAAGTCATTGTACCAAAACTTCTAACTAAACGGTCTAAGATAAGGGGATGCAACCCAAAAACAAATAAACATAAAGTAAAAAATCTGAAAGGTCTAAGTCCGAAGGAAATGGACTAAGATCCTAGATGAATCTATGGTTAGCCTGAAGAAATTGACTCACCCTTGAATTCGAGAAGTCAGTTCTCGTAGTTGTGGTCTCT